AAGCATTCAAAATCCTAAAAATAAAGAAGGGGAAGCAATAAATATAATGGGATTGAAAAAATTGATGTGAACTGCAGGATCTATCCTGAAAATCACTGTGCTGTCTCACCTCCTGCATCCCTTCAATTGGTGAAAGCTCTTGGAACTCCAGTGATATTAAAAGATTGCAAGATCCATTTGGTAACAGTGCCCATGGGGAGCCCACTTTCATGTGGCTGTTACTGTGATTCCCAGCCCTTGTTCTGCAAAATACACTCAGTTCCTCCTGTAAATCCTCCAGCTTTCCTTCCCAGCTGCAGCAGCACAGACAGATGCTGCTACAGGCACACTGCTCCCCTAAATCCACGGCATGCTTACACTGCTGAGCATGTCACCAAATACTGTTATATAACAATGCATCAAGTTTGGCAACCAACCACCTCTGGGAACTCTATCAGCAAAAATTTCACATTTTCTTCCAAGTCACAGCTAAAAATATCAAACATCAGGCTAAGAAAAAATTAACAAGTTACTGCAATTAACAAGCACATTTTCTGCTACCACCAAAAATAACTAATATGTACAACATAATTGAAAATACTTTATTGTGACATTTTTTACTGCAGTGATAACAGATTAAATGGTTTTGGGCTAAAAATTAAGATCCTACTGAGCTGACAGGTAATCCTAAGAAATATGAGATTAGTTTAGCATGAAGAAATATCTATTTAGCAAACAAGAGACTTAGCGTGCAGCTCTGCTGGCTGGCAAAAGAACACAAAAAACTAAATTACATAAACAGACTATATCTGTATCTGCTCTTTTTCACTCCCTAGAACCAAACTGAGTGGTCAATTCAATACTCAGGTGCATTTTTATATTCTTAGGATTTCCCCAAAGTGCTATCTAAAAGGACAAGCCCTCCTCTGAAGGACTTTTGGACAACTCTTATTTAAAACTACTGGTACAAGTTATCCACTTTGATGAGTAGGGAACGAAACATACTTAACGTTCTTCTGCACTAAAACACATTTGTTTATAATGAAAGAAACTCATAAGAAAACATGCAGAATTAGTTCTTAAATGCAAAGCAAATGCATATAACCCTGAAGAGGCCTCATGGCTTGTGGTATCTTTAAGGTTTACCTATGAAAGGGATTACAATGTGGAAAGAAGAGATGAGGCTGCTCATATGAATATATCTTTTTAATCAATTTTAATATTTTTTTCTAAGAAAAATCTGGGTGATTTGTTACATTTAACAGCTTTTGCCTATAAGTAGGTAACTGTTCTGCCTTGCAGAAGAACAGAAGTCATCCAATAAGTCTGGCTTGGCAGCACATCCACCCTCCCGAGTCCTCTGTGCGACGATCTGGTCTCTTGGTGCCTCTCCTAAGGAAGGACTGTCTGCATTCTGTGCTCATCACAGACCCAACGTGCTACCTGGCACCGCTGCTGGCAAGCACAGCCAGCAGCTAACAGAGCTTGGCAACCCCACTGCTCTATCCCAGCAGAGCTTCGACATTCAGAAACAAAGCACAGAGTTTGGGGAACAGCAGGGAAACCTCAATGCCGTAATTAGTGCTATAATTTGGTCTATTTTTCAAGTAGAAGCAGGACTTCAACCTTCTGGCATGTGTGTTTAGGGCTCTTTGTAGAGACAGTGTAAAACAAACACACAGAAGCCAGTAAATAGCCAACCTTGCAGTCTTTTTCCAGGGGAATGGCACAGAATTGAACTAGGGGCACTGAAGAGCTGCTGGATGACTAGAGACAAATTGAGAAAACAAACAGGAGCTCTGTGCTGTGCCTGCAGCACTGACTGTTTATCCATTTTGACCTTTCCCAGAGGATCACTCGCTCACTGTGTGACCACACCAAGAGCACCATTGAACGCGAGGGTCCGGCACTGGCACCGCCACCACCTGACTGGGAGCCTGGGAGAAAAGCCACTCCAAGCACACAAAATGCAGTTCTAAACCAAGCGGGGAGAGGGAGGAGGAGAACTTTCCTTCACTAAGCAAACCACAGAGATATTTTAATCAGGACACAAAAGCAAGTTGAGCCAAACACCAACTGACTCGGATCATATCGCATCAATAATCCATGCACAGAGGCTCTGCTGAAATCAATGGGAGGCTTGTGTGGAAGTGGATTGTATAACATAAATGCACGGCCCTGTTCAGGGCTCCACATACAAAAGAAAAGGAGGTACTGAGAACAATCCCCTTAATTAGCATTTCTCATCCATCGAGTGCTTCTAAAATAATAAATTCTGACTTTACACAGCTCTGTTTTCATTCACAGTTTTTATCAGAGGTGGTAGAACAACTGACCCCATTTGACAAATAAGAGAACTGAAGCATAGGATGCAAATCAAACTGATGAGCAGCGCAGCAGGCAGAGCTGAACTGGGAATAGCAGCTTACCTTCTGAATCACACTTTAATGTCCTAGATATTTACATGCTTATCTAGTTCAAGTCTCTAATTAGGGTGACTCTGCGCAGCCCTTAAATAATTTTGCATACTTCCTAAAGTACCTGTGCAGAGTGATAAGCTTAGCTGTAAAGAGTTTCCCATTCAATAATGTCAATTTTATGAGGATTTAGAATATCCTGCAGAAGTTCAAAACACTGGGCTGCCCTGGTCAGGCTCCAAAGGGAGTCTCATTGCTCGGGTATCACAAGTCTCATTACTCAACAGCAATAAAGAGTTTTAAAACAGGCTGTCAAATCCACACGCCTCCTGTCATTAAAGAAAAAAAAAAGGGGAAAAAACCCCAAACAAAATATTTGCCAATTCATTAGGTAGAAGCAACCCAACTCATCCTCGTGTTCCAAACTGACAGCAATCCCTAAGAAAAAGCGAGACTGGGTCTCTATTCAAGAAGTCAGAGTAAAATGTCACATACACCAATTGCAAAACAAAATTCCAATCAACTTGGCGGTGATTGTTTTACAACATTGCACTATACTGTAGTTTGCCCCAAAAAAACGTTTTTATTAAAGTGATATTAGCTTCACTTGCATGCTAGAGGTACAAATCAGGCTTCACACATAGAATCAGCATTTAGCTAAATGCAGACTGTGCCATCCTCAGGTCCTGAGTATTTGCCCTCCTATGCAAATCCAACTTTGAAATGCTTAACATCTTATGGAAGATTAATTCAGCAATATGTCCACTTTCTAGTTTACGATTTGTACGTTATTAAGTACTATATTACACAGGCTTAGTGCAAATAACAAGCATGTTCATTTTCCTTAACTACAGATGCAAGTCCATAACACTGTGAAAATAACATATTTTGAGTTAAATGAGCTTTCTGCTCTTTACAATTATAGTCTTCAACTCTTTTGAATAATAACTTTTCAGGACTGCTCACTTTGTTTTTTGCTTTCCTTTTTCAGATTTTTTTTTAAGAGTTTAAGTCTATCGCTGTCAAAAAAAGCAGAAATGCCTGCTGAGAAATGGCCACATTTCCAACCCACTGCTTGAAGAATTATTTTTCTGATTCATCACAGCATTATTTTTTCAAGTTGTCAAAACAAACACCACACCCTCTTGATTTCCGAGTTCTGGGTAATTATATTTAGAATTAGCAAGTAGCACACAACTATTAATCATACAATGCTTAGCCCTTACTTTACCTATTTAGAGATCAGCCAATGCATTCAAAGGCCGCCTGTTTAGCATCTGGTTTGAGATAAACCCTCATGGCACCACCACGGCACAGACGGGCACAGACACACTGAATACAGGGCAGGCCATGCACAGGCGATCCCTCTGCCCCGGGGCAGGATCAGCTCCTGCTCAGCCACCATTATCGCTGATGATACACAAGAACTGGTTATTTCAGGCAGCAGCTTTACACACGCACTCACAAAACACATTATAAATTAAAGGAGGGAAGCGTGTGGCACGTCTGCAGTGCCTTAAACTGGGGCAGCGCTCAAGCCGGTCGCCGAAAGATAATAAAATACAAATAAAAGCTTCCCCAACACGCGAGTCCGGATTTTCTAAAAGTAGTATCTAGCAAGGTTAACGCCGCTGCCTTTGGAAACAGTTCACCTTGTTTAAACTGGCTGAACCACCCCGTGATTATCACCGAGCCTCCATTAAGATGACACACACAAACAGAGCCCTCGCAGAGCTCAATTACTCTTTTCTCCACTCCTACACCACCAGACGCGGACTTTTTCATATTTCGCCCCTTCCCCTCTCTCAGCGGAGGAGCAGCTGCAGCAGCGAGCGCGGGGCTGTCACGGCGGCG